GAATCTCAAGAAGTCATGTTACCTCAACTTGGAAACTGTATGATTTTAGTAAGTAAGTAAGTAATTCTTTATTGCTATCCGTATCCCATTTGAGATCTGACATAAAATACAATAAAGTCAAAAACATGTAATAATAAAAAAAAAAAAAAATGAAAAAAGGAAATACTAAAAGTACTGTAAATGAATGAAATAAATACATATCTCCAATAAGAGATAAATATATATAAGTGTATGTATATAGGTTATTCTGCTCTTGAAAAGGGGATATAATTTGACAAAAATAAGTATGTGTTTAGAGGCTTTTTTGAAAAGCTATATTTGCCAGGTCCGACTTTCAGTAAACCCCCCCCCCTCCCCCGGTTTCATATAGTGTTTCGCTAATGAAAGTTTATTACTGTAGGTTGTATATCAGTGTATGAGGTATAAATTGTATATGCAAATTTGGTCATTAACATGCATAAATTTCAACCCTAAATTTAAACTAATCACATCTGTGGTTTATCCCAGACCACCAATGTAGCAAGTGTTGATTGTTATCTATTGAGTGGTTCTTGAGATATGAAAAAGCTTAAAATTGGTGATAATATGCAAATTGGGTGACTATTATGTGCAGATTTTCATGCATTTTGTATGCATTATCTCAGAGCGTATATGTATCAAAATTCATTGGTTCTTGAAATGGGTCAACTGCAAACAACTCATTGTGTCTTTCGTAAAGAATGCCCTTAAAATGTTTACACAAGTTTGTGAAAAATGAAAAAAAAAATAGATTCTTAAGCCATAATTATTTTAATAGAACTGCTATGGCAGTGTGTTTTTCTTTTTGCGTACGTTCATGTGTTCACATTCATATGCTTATAACCAAATAAAATGTTTCCATGTTGAACTGATTTATTATTGAACAACATACTGTAGTGTTTTTGAAGTGCAAGTTCTTTGCATGCATCAGTTTTCCAAACCCCCGCTCTAAATAATATATTTGTCGAGACCCTTATTCAATGTTTACATGAGTCGGTCTTATTATGTCAGATGTTAAACAACGTCCTTATTGACATCAGAAACAAGTCATTAATACATACATTCCTTTTAAACATTATATGAAGTCTTATGCACTTCATGTTGTGGCTTGATTTTAGTCAAACTGGTCACGTTTTTGGCTTATCCTATTTTCATTCACACGTTAAAAAGCGTCAAGAGAACGGTTTACATATGCATGTCAATTTGGTATTTGATGTTATCTAATATGGCCGATTGGTGGCCATGCATATCATGACAGCTGTAAATGTAGGTGACTGTGTTCACCCTAGGACATTTTAACCATGGTAGTACCACCATGATTGAATTTTAAAAAAAAAGGGCAATAGAATTTATTGATAAGCTAATTATGTTAATTGTTTAATATGCAAATTAGCTGCAGGGGGCTTCAGATGATGCCATATTTATGACTCTTGGCGGGTACAGTAGATAACAAAGTATCCTTGAAGGTTTCC